AAAAAAAAAAAAAAAAGGAAAATAACGACTAAACACTACGAACTGGCCTTCCTGCAAAACAAAAAGCTTAAACGCCGTTTCCAACTCCTTTTACCCCTCATTCGCTAACCATATGATCATGTTGGCCGAAAGTCGTACACAAACAGTTCAGCCATACGTAACTCCACAGCAGATTTCGAAAAAAACACGCAGCATCTGATTGCTGCTGCATGTAATCAGGAACAAAATATTTCTTCATTCCGTTGCTGACGGCTGACTGTTGTAGACCAGTCTCTTGTACTCTGTTTTGCAGCATTCTGCCTTTGTTTTCAGAATAGTGCATTTATTTTTGCGCATTTTTTAGATTGGGAATCCTGCGAAGGGAAATTCTTCTGCGGAAAGGATGCATTTACAATGGGGTTTAAGCACATGAGTGCTATTTGAACTATATTCACTGTAGACAGGATTTCCGCATTAACCAGATTAAAAATCAAATTTCCAAAACTCTGCAAATACCTCATGTACCGTTTACAGTGCTTCCTTCGATTGTATAACTCGTGAAAATATAAAGGTTGAAGCATTTTGGGGTCGGGTGAGAACTGAAATAGGATAACCAGTGTGTTCTGAACTCCTGAACTATTGGTCGTTGAACCAATTTATGCTATAACACTGTCACATATTGGACCGTCATAAATTTCTTGAGCCATTTTTTGTGTAGAAATAAAAGCTTGTTTTGATATAAACTCATGTCTTCAGCAGGGATTCCAAAGGGTAATAAGAATGCTGTGCCAGGTATGCATGTAAAAGTAAGAAGTGGCCATGACTAGATGAGGTACGTGTCATCGATCTATGGGCTAGTAAAGTAAATGTAGGCAAAAGGAGTAATGGCACTGGATAGCTTCTTTGTAGTGATAACGTGTTAAAGGATCTTTATAATAAAGTGCTAAAGCGTTTTTAAGGGTGCTTTTAATTACCCTTTTTTGGGATTTTGCCTCGAATTATTGTTATCCTTTTTCAATAACAATTGTATGTTTTTGATTATCAGCTAGATAGCCTACTGTTTGTTAAATTATTCAAGGTAAAGAGCCGCAATGGAGGGTAGGGAAAAGCGAAATAACATGCCTGATAACAAGGTTTTGAAACCGGGTGGAAGTTTCATATTACTGTTGCTTTCAGGTCCCATTACAAGTTGAAGCTCTTGAGGATACTTGCTGGACATTCAGTGGATAGGAATTAAAACAAATCTGACGATTTGTATATCAGGCAACTCATCTTTTTGAACAGCACAGTTGTTCCAACTGAAATTCCGCTTCTTAACTGCAACTCTTTTATAACTTAAAAAAACATCATTATTATGATCTATTTTGACAAAGATTATAACCCTCTTAAGTACACTTTAATAAAATCATCTTTTTTAATTTTTAGATTGGCGCGCAAAAATATAGAGCTGTTTTGGTCTCAACGCGATTGCACGGTTCACATGCAACGGAAATAATAAAATAATTGTGCTAAAAATTTGCTTGCTGAAGCAGACTGCAGTTGAGATTCCTGTCACCGTCAGGATTTCGTTGAAAGCTTTAATTGCAAGTTTGAACCAAATTTCAGAGTTGCGTGATTGCAGTTTTTATGTTTGAGAATAGTTTTGCAGTGATATTGTTCACCAGCTGATCCTTATTTTCGCACATCTGTTATTTTAAAAAATGGTTAAAAAGAGAATTTAACATTCAGGTTAATCATGTCGACGTTGAAAAAGTCGGCAAAAAGCGGCCAGCGAATTCACCGTGAAAGGTCTCAGGTATCCGTGTGATTGCTGGTTAATTTTAACTTTGTTGTAACCCTTCATACCTTTTTGGAACATTCATTTAAAAATGATGTTTTGACATCGTTCTTTAGCCCGAACATAGAGCACATCTTGGCGTATTAGAAAAGAAGAAGGACTATATTCTTCGGGCGCGAGACTATAACGAAAAAAAAAGAAAGCTACGTTTTCTACGACGTAAGGCATTGGACAGAAATCCAGATGAATTTCATTACCATATGGTCCGAAGCGAGCTAAGGGTAAATCTACTGTGGAAAAGCTTGATTTGCTTAGTTTTCGTTTGGGTGTTCGCCTTAAAAATAGTAAAATAAGTGACTTTTTAGGATGGAGTTCATCACGATATAACTCCCGAACCTGATGAAGACACAAAACTACAGAAAAAGCTGAGCAACATTCAAGATTTAAAGTATTTGCGTCACCGCCTAAACGTGGAAAATAAGGTGAACAATGGTAAAATGAAAGCTTATAAAAAAGCAGCTGTTAGTATTTAATTTCAAATGTTTTCGAGAATCTTCACTAAAAAAATTGAGATTTTATTTTTTATTTTTTTATTTTTTTTACTTTTTTCGATAAAGAACTGATACTTCTTCATGTAGTGTTGTCCTTTGTCGGCTCAGTTTTTGTTTCCTTCGTTAAAGGTAAATCATGTATTATCCGAAATATCAATTGCTGGCGCGCTTTCTAGGACCC